CTCTCTCTCTCTCTCTCTCTCTCTCTCTCTCTCTCTCTCTCTCTCTCTGTGGTTCCACTAATTAATGGTTGTGGTCGTTCGATTGGGTGGTGCTAGTGGTTGAGCTGGGTATGTGGTGGCTGGTGATGATGGTTCAATTGACTGATTAGGTGATGGTGATGGTTCGATTGGGTATGTGGTGGCTGGATATGAGTTTGATGGTGGTGATCTAACGGTTGTGGCATCGTGGTGATGGTGGTATGTTTGATGTTTCGAGCTCGTGTGTTTGAGGGTGGTGGTGGTATTCAACCAGACTTACGTGTTCAAAATAGCACCCTCGCTATTTTGCGAAACGCGTTTCGGGCTTACTATATTAGACAAGCGAGTCCGATGTTTTTTTTCCCATTGGACTATATAATCTCATTTAACTTAATCCCCTTCCTTACCAAACATAGGTTTTCAAGGACTATTTAACCCAGTTCAGTCCAGTGAGGCTTATGGAGCATTATCATGAAAGCAAACCAAACGCAAGTTAATCAAATAAACTTGAAGAGTTTTTTAAATTCAATCTTGACATGAGATAAAATAACTAAGATGAATCAATCCAGAACGAGCATACCACAAATAAATGCTTGTGGGGAAATGCTCTACTCTCACATTCTCATGAAGAGAAACCTCCTTGTAAAGAAGAATGTAAATCTGCATATAAATCAATATTGGAGTCCGGTTTGGTGTAGTTTGATTTTTTAAAAATATTTTTTAAGGGTTTTTATCACAAATAGTCCCTAAGGTTTTCCAAATTATCTCATTTGGCAACAAGCATGATACTCATTGATAGCCTGTAATATGCAACAAGCATGATACTCATTGATGCCATGATACATAAATGACCCATTATCCTCATACACAACCTAAAATATGGAACAAGCATGATACACAATGATTCTAGGATACAAAAAAGTTTATCAAGTAAGAGATGGTTTCTCATGTTCCTGAATTTTAAACCAAATTGGGTGATGAGTAGATTATCTTCAACTTTAAATCAGAAAAAGTTGAAGATAAATAGATCGTCTACAACAAGCTAAGGGCATCAAATAGGGAGTGAAATAGAGATGCAGCCCAAATTACAGAATAAGATATCAACAACCTAAATTATTGGACGGCATACAAATCAACAAATCAACAACCCAAAATACAGAATAAGATACCAAAATCCAAGAAATCCATATTAGAAAAACGCAAAAAAGGAGTTAAGCAGCCGATGCTATATAAATCATTCCAGTAAGTAAAATCAAAACAAAGGGCATTGATCTAGACTTGACGCCCTCCCCATCCCCCTCCCAGCCATCATCACCCCACCTGGTCCACCCCTTCCCACCCAACACCCACCCGAAACCCAACCAAGATCTCATCCTCCACTCCTCACCTCTCATATCTCTCCTAAGAATCCCACAACCATCTCAAATCCAATTTTTTTTGTAAAATTAGTATGCTTAAAAAAAATTCATATTTGGAACTTGGGTTTGGTGGATGTCAAAAAGAGTGGGAAAAGAGAAAGAGGAGGGTGGGTGGGGGGAGAAGAAACAGAGGGATGATGGTGGGATGGGGTTGGTGGGTGTTGATTGACTCCCTGATTCAGAGTCTCTTGTTTGTATGAGAAAAAATAGTTGTTCCAGTGAGGAGGTCTTGATAGAGAAGTTGGAGAGGATGGGATCTCAGTTAGATATATGGGTTTTGTTTGACCCGTTTCTATAGAAACCCTTTAAAACCATCTTTTAATCTCAATTGTCCAAGTTTATTCAACAGTCTAGACACAAGTTCGCACTTAATGTTCCCATATAGCTGTTCTCACCTTATTCGAGCGCTATATATATTTAATTGTCAAAAGATGGGCCTTGGGATATATATTTATTTGGGTTCATATGTTGATTTAATTAATAATTTCTTTTTTATTAACTAGAAATTCCTTTTTAGATTATCTAAAATTCGAATTTGTTAAACAGTTAATGTAACTGTTGGATGAAGAGGTGTCAGACCTCTATAAACTAGAAAACACAATTTTGGAAATGCATTATCATTCCCACACATAAGCACTTCCTGAGAGAAATCACATCATTGTTCGCCAGAAATCAAAGCCACATTGCTTAAGCTTTGATTTGTGATAGTTTAATCGTGGTGGACGGACTCCTATCGAACTACAAGCACAGTATTCTGTAATTTATCATATATCCAAGGAGAAATACTGTCTAAAGGACATTGCAACTTTGCATGACTCTATCATCTATCCAAGTCAGTATTCTGTAATTTATTCTATTGTTGTATTGATTTGATTATATATATATAAAGTATATTTCGTTTTTGTTATTATTCTGTTATTTGGTTTTATACTGATTGTTCTCCAACAATTTCTTCCGTCCCCTATGTTTTAGTTGACCAACTCATGACTTCCCCATTCCAATTTCCAAATAATAGTAAATGCCACACGAGTGTTGATAATTTGGGGGTGGCTGATCTCTCTCCTTCGCTCTTTGACCAATAATAAGGTTTACCTGCCCCACACTTCCATTTCCATGCATGCCGATGCCCCATTAACTTTCTATTTGTTTGGATGCCCTGAAAATGATCTAGCAAGCTCCGAATATGCCAAGCTCTTGCTCTTGCAGTTACCAAATTATTTTTACTTTTTACTACATGGATATATATATTTATGTTTGTGCTTGTGGATCTTCCTCTTTGTCGTCAAATGGAGGTATAATAGATTTGCAAAATAGAATGGACGTATGAGATATGCTACAAATCTGTGGCTCTAAAGCAAGTCAAAGTCAAAGACTCAAGGATATGCTCGCCTCAGTTTAAGTAACAAACAAGATTAATCTTATTAACCTCATCACTAGTTAAAGTTAACGAAGGTACGTGATGCATGCGTGGATTTGTGAGAAATTAATTACGGCTTCAAAGGTGTAATTTATGAATGCAATCTCTTTATCGTTTGACAGAAAACAAATGTGGGTGGCTTCCATACTTAATTAGTTAATTTCTTATCGAAATCTAACACATTTTTCATGGATGGTATAATTAAGTAAGGATAAAAAG